CCCCAAAACCCCAAAACCCCAAAACCCCAAAACCCCTCTCAGTAATAGTAAAATTGATTAATATGGCATCTAGGACAAAAAGAATCGTAAACTTGTTTTACACAATCCAGGATGTAGCCAAAGACGAGTCTGATGCTGAACTTGTCAGCATCCTTAAAGATTGTGAGATGTACCTGAATATCTCACTCAAGATCATCAGTAAATCTGGTGCTAATACACCTAAGGCAAGCCTAGCCAGCTTGAGTTCGAGCCGAGGATATGGGAAAGAGGCAGTTGACATCTTAAAACATTGGATTTTCTCCTTGAGTTCCAAATAAGGAAGGTGATGGAGTCTTCAAAACAAAAAGGAACAAGCAAGCTAAAGACTTGCTAGATTCTATCAGGTTTAAGATCATCAAACCTCCTTTTGATAGAGATCCAGATGGTTTTAATTTATCTGAATACATGTCTAAAACTAACGATCTGGATCAGAAGAAGACGTATTTTACAAACACAGGTACCTTGAAAGCCAGGAAGAAATCAGGGAGGATGCCACTGACTTATAGAACCAAGCTCCAGAATAGCTCCTCGCGGACTAATCTAGTAAAAAGTTTTCTTGATAGGGATTTAAAACCAGAGGTAAGATATTCATCAACTTTAGGAACGCAAGAGAGAGCATACAGTAGATAAAAGCCCAACTGGAGATTACAAGTTTAATTGTATTTACACAGAAGTGAGCCTATCTAAGCCGGCTAAGTTGGAGACACCATATAAGCCTAAGAACGGGAAAATATAAGCAGTAGATTCTTGAATACAGCTGCGACCAGTTTGGCAAAGAGGCCTAATTCAAAAAATTCCAACTACCAGAGACTTCGAGAAGAAAGGGATGGATCGCTTGCTAGAGGTAGCGCTGAGTACACTCGGAAGATGAGTAATAGGTATAATAACACCGCAAAGCTAAGGACTCCGGCAGATCATAAATCTCTGAAGAGCAATGGCTCATTTGTTAACAACCAGTACAGTCTTTACAAATATTCTTCCAGCAGGGATGGGCTGCAGAATAGGTAATCCCCCATAAAACTTTTAGTCGTAATAATAAAGGAAGTATTGAGAAGTTTACTCCTAAGAGGAGGATCACCCTAAACTTGGAAGAGAAGTTCTCAGCTAGTATCCACTCTCAAAGGAACAAGAAGGAGGAACCGAGTAGTATCGGCGCTAGGTATGCCTCTCAGTCAAATCTGAGTAAGAAGAGGATCTCTAATCATCCTCTGAGTGACAAAATCGGCTCTTCCGAGTCCTCAAGAAATAAGGAGTCTTCAGCCCATGAAAGTGATGAGATCCGTGAATCTCAGGATTTTCAAGGAAATTTTCTGCTTGAAAAACTAGGCGAGGAAGCCTCGATTTTGAAAATTACAGGTGAGTATAAAGAAGCAAAGCTCTTGGAAGATACTCAAAGTTTTGAAGAGACAGGGTATGAGGAAGAGAAAACAGAGAAGCAAATCAAGAGCCAGATGTCAGCCACTAACAGAAGTGCTGAGCAAAAGAACCCTCACATAATCCCTTTCTCCGAGTTTATGAAGGATAAGATCAGAACTGGGCATCTAGCTCCTTCTAAGATTCCTGGGATCAGCAAGCCGGTGTCTTCAGATAGCTCTCCTACGAAGTCCAAAAGGAAACCTCCGACGTTGAAGAAGTTCAATACAAATGATTATGACAAGTTTGAGAAACCAGTAAGCCAGGGAGGTGAATATACCTCCAAATCTAAGAACAACAAGGATAAATATTTAAAGACGTTAAAGAACAAGTTCAGTCCTCTGTTTGAAGTCACTCTTGAGGAGATCAGGAATCGTACTCCTGAGAAGAGCAAGACCAGAGCAAGGCAGCCAAAGCAACAGAAGATGCTAAGACAGTCCAATAGCAAGGAGTCCTTTACAGAAGTAGTGAAGAGTCAGGAGCAATCTAGAAAGAATATTCAAAAAGTGGCTAACGACTTGAAGATGAAATTGAAACATAACTTTATGCGTTCTAAAGAGAGGTCTCCTAATCCTCAGAATAGACTTAGGAAAGACCCAACTGTAGGCTCTTTGAGAAGCTCAGGCTCTTATAATAGCAAGAAGCATATTTTTGGAGCAAAGGATGATTCTGATACCCCATATAGTCCGAAGATTATTGTGTCTAGGAAGAAAAGGGCAATTACTACTTCTGATATTTACAACTCCCTTAAATGTCGAGAGGAGACCAAGAAGTATCAGTACCGCAAAAGAGCAGTGTCTAAGAGATATGAGGGCTAACAAAATCTTAGAAAATTTCTGAAATAATTCGTTCCAATTGTTCTCATTGAAACAGGGGTTTTGGGGTTTTGGGGTTTTGGGGTTTTGGGG